ACAATTGGTTGGTAGCAATTGGTTGGTGACAATTGGTTGGTGACAATCAGTTGGTAGCATTGGTTGATAGCAATTGGTGGGTGGCAATTGATTGTGGGTGGCAATTGTTTGATGACAATTGGTTGATGACAATTGGTCGATGACAATTGGTTGGTGGCAATTGGTTGGTGACAATTGGTTGGTGACAATTGGTTGGTGGCAATTGGTTGGTGACAATTGGTTGGTGGCAGTTGGTTGGTGACAAATGGTTGGTAGGTCTCTGCCCTTCTGAAACGATTATTTTTGAGTGCCTGTTTTTCTAAAAAACATGGTCCTCAACCAATTGTCATCAATCAATTGTCACGCCAACCAATTGCCACCCACCAGTTGTTGTTGTTGGCCCATATTGGCCCGGGGCCTATGTTGGGCCATCTTGGGCCTGTGTTAGGCCATCTTGGGGCTATGTAAACCCTTCTTGGACCTACTTGGGGGCCTCTGTTGGCTCATCTTGGGGTACATTTTGCGCCATTTGCGTTGACACGGGCCCATGACTCAAAACTTCCGATTACGCACGCTCGGCCGGCGCCGCCGGCGCGCACTACCGACACCACCCTTGTAAAACCCACGGTTTTTGCATTTCGCCACTGTCCAAATTGTGGATCTTCCACGCCCACAAAACCCTGTAAAACACAGCGTTTTGAACCTCGCACGCAGATCACAGCGGAACAGCGGCGGAGACCCAGCAGCGCCAGCCAGCACCGGGGCGTACATCCGACCCCCTGGAGAAGACAAGTGGCAAGCAAATCATTGGTAGCAATTGGTTGGTGGCAATTGGTTGGTGACCATTGGTTGATGACAATTGGTTGATGACATTGGTTGGTGACAATTGGTGGGCGAGAACTGGTTGATGACAATTGGTTGATGACAGTCGGTTGATGACAATTGGTTGTTGACAACTGGTTGTTGAAAATTGGTTCTTGAAAATTGCTTGTTGACAATTGGTTGATGAGAATTGGTTGTTGACAATTTGTTGTTGAAAATTGGTTCGTGGCAATTGCTTGGTGGCAAGAGGAGGGCGGGAGGAGGCCAACACTAAAAACTAAAAACCCCACACGTCAATGTGGGGAACAAGCGATTCGGGAGTGGTCTTGGGCATATGGAGTGCGCAAGCGATTTCCATTGCCCCCCCCCACCCCCCACCCATGGCAATCTTCAGATCACGGACAACTGCGTGTAATAGGCTAGGCATGCTCGCTTAAAAGTTTCGGTTGCGCACAGATGTCAACTGGGATTTTGTAGCCATCCACAAATCATTCCATTAGCCCCCCACCCCACCCCACCCCCTGCCATTTGCGCGTGAAAGAGATGTATGGAAGAAATCCTCGGTGCGCAAATGATCATGGCTGCAGACTCTGACCTCTGGTACCTGATTCATATAGGCAACCATTACAGCAGTTTAGAGCCCTGTGGTGCGCGAGTGATCCAAATCGGTGATCCCCCACCCGGCCCATGCTGGCAGGTTGGGACCCTTGGTTTTGCGCAGATTCGATTTTGAGTTGGAGGCCCGCCATACATCACATCATTGTGATGTGAATGTGATTTAAGGGTACTGTAGGGCCAGCATTTTGTGTGCGCGCGTTGTTTGCCTGGGTGGGTGACTTGATTCCGCCCAGGGACTAAGATTGGGTAGGAGCAGGACTGCTTGAACTTGACCCCGCCCAAGTGGGTCGGGTCAACAAAATTCGCCCAAACTTGGCTAGGATTGTTGCATCCATTTTGTTGCGCCCCGTGATATTTTGGTCGAGATGTAGATCTTGTAGACCTTGATGGCCCCCGCTGCCTCTTTGGTGCTACTCATGAGTTATGTTGCTTGAGACAGATGGTGGCTGAACATGCATGCGCACCAACGGGAGGACGCCAGGAGGAGGAGGGGAGCAGGCCACAAAGAGGACAAGAAGAGGACAACACCTCGACACAGAGTGGCCAGTCCCTTTTCTCTTAAGAGAGAACCCCAACAGTAAACTGTTTGAGGAAAACCTTACAGTACAAAGTTGTCATAAATAGAATGTTCACACAGTACTGTAATTCACAAAACATCACGAAACCATCACCACTGTCAATGTTGTTGTTTGCGCCTCAGTGGCCCACATGGTGGACACTAGGTTAAGTTAGACATCAAGTCAAGCGGTCCATTTGAATGGGTCGAAGTCCAGCATGGGCGACCCGATGCGGCCTGTGCCCGATGCTCAACTGACCTTTTTGAGTGTTGCAGTTTTCGTTCCGAATGTTGGATGGCGGCTTGATGCAGCTTGCATGTATGTGGAGTGGGGCCTTCCCGCTTGTTGTGGTGTGCTGCTGCACACTTCGCCGATGAATTGACGCTGGAATTTGCTCGCTCTTCCCATCCCAAATACACTACTTCTGGATGACGCCAGCAGATTACAGGGTGACTTGAGCTGGCTCTTTTCCATGTGTGCTGGACATGCTTCGTTTTTAGCCAATTCAATGGTATGACACAGCCCACAGTTGACCCCTCCTTGAAGGAACTTGGTCGGATCACTTTGTCGATCCTCAAATGCATGCTACACTAAGCCGTCACTGATTGTGTACCTTGATGCTTCCTTCGCCGATGGTTTCTTGCTCCCTCTGGTGGGTTATCGTGGTGGAACTGAAATCTTGATAAATCTTGAATAGCTGTGACCTAGCAAACGGGAGTCATCCATCATCATCCCTTTTTAGTTTTATGATGCTTCACCCAAACACATCCAAGCACTTGAATGCAGTAGATGGCAGATTCTTCTCACCTCTGTAGTGACCTTATATTGCTTTACTGCATACATGAGTTCATTCGACCACCAAACACCACAGAGGTGACAGAGGCCTCATGACCAGTGAACTCCTTCACAGCGTGTCATAGCACCTGTCTCTCGCCTTTGTCCCACAGGGTGGGCCTCACATTATGAAGTAAAAAAGGGATGTGGGCACTAACTTTGCTTGTGTTTGTGTTTGAGCCCTTGTGTGTCTAAGGGCTGAAAAGTTTTGTGGCATGAATCTCATCGTTAATGGAAGTGTTTTCTCGAAGCCTGAGGGAAAGGAGTGCAAGAATATGCATTTCAGCAAAGTTGTTTTGAATGCATATTCATTTCAGGCTGTGTAGCCCCTTTGCTCAGGTAGTCACCGTGCAGAAGCAGCTCGCTTCACGAGGTGCAGCATTGTCAAGAACGCATGGGCTTTGCTTCCTAGTTTTTGAACCGTCGTTATGCGGAGTCCTTGACCCAGGCAGGTCACAGTGGGCTTGGACAAGTGGCGGAGCTTTGTGGAAGAAGATCGTTCAACCAGCTGCTTGAAAGTGCAATGCAGGTTGTTCTATTCTTGAAGAGCAGTGGACATGAAAGGAGTAAAGAAAACCAGTTCTATGTTACGACATTCGTTGAGGTGGTTTGCTTGAAAAAGCACCTCGACGCATTTACGACTGGTGGGATGCAGAGATGAAAGGAGGATTTGACGTGCCTTGGCCTGTTTGTTTCTCCGTGACAGATGATAAATTCATTCTACTTAGACTAGCGAATGACCAATTTTGCTTGCTGTGTTTTACCATGTTTCACCTGATCTCAATGTTTTTGGATGCTTCGTCTGAGTGAGTGAGCAGCTGGCTTCAGTGTTTGCCCTTGGTTTCAAGTCAAAGAGCACAAACTCCTCTCACCAGATGCAGCACTGAATGGCACTCGAGGTCAGACATGGCCAGCAGGGGCAGGCTCAATACTCTTGGGCTGAGGAAACGCCTTCAGAACACACATCATAATATCATATTATGATTCCTAATGAGTGTTTGAAAGTGAGAAAGGTATTATATGGTATCATGAACACGAATGGTTTTCACCTTGATGTGTTTTTTCGATGTTTCAGTGCCATGTTCGCTGTTTCGCCAGGTGTTGCGATATGGAAAATCCTTGTCGATCCCGGAGCCCTATGATGTCCAATATGTCAACGACCGGCGCGTGGTCTTCCGGCGCCTCACTGGACCTGAGGAGACAATCCGAAGCTTTCTGTGACCTGCTTTGGACGGTCGTGTGAGCTATCGGAAGTCAGGAGCTCAAGGTGAGCCTTGTGGAAGGCTGCTGGCTCAATGTGACACTTTGAGAAACTTCTGGAAATTGTGATTGTTCCATCACAGCCCAACAACTCTGATGCTGTTTGCGTCAGTCTGAAAACACTGCAACCCAAGTAAAGTTCATGTTTTCAAAGGTTTGTGCTTTCGCTCACCATTGTAGAAGAAGAAGAAGCTGACAGTGACTCAGGCCTTTTTGAAGGCTTCGAGTTGCAACGCTTACTTTCCCTTTGTGAGGCACAATGTCAGGGACCGGTGGACATTGGCTGCCGAACAAAAAGCATTCCTTGCGTTTTTGGCACAGAATCTTCGACCTTAAGGGAGAAACAGCTGTAGGGTAGTGCTTCGTAGAAGAACATAGCCATCAGTGGGACGGGTTCCGCTGAAGTGGCACACGATGAGACGATGCCAGAGAGCAGATGCATCGTTATTGCCGATTGTTTGGCTCCTGACGTTGATGTTCGCTGATCCAGGAGCGGCAGGGCTTTCAACCAAGCCTGCAGAAGGATCGCTTTGGCCAGGCAGATTGCGTGAAGCTTTGTGATGAGAATGTTTCTGTGAACGAAAGAAAAGGCAATGAGGGAAGGCTTCTAGGGATTCCTAGGCAGCAGCTACTGGTAGGCTGTTAGGCTGCTCAGTGCTACTTGCGATACAAGCCCTCAGGTGGTTCAGGATGGTCGACGGACATCGCATTCCTGTGCAATGCGTTGGCCGCTCCTGGGTGACGAGGATGAGGCCAAGACTGGTCAACTTTGGGAGTACGGGAGCACTTTGGCAAATCGATCAAATCAATCTCCCTGCAAACTGATTCAAACGTTAAACGTTGCACGGCCTCACACATAAAAAGTGGCAAAGTACAAGGAATGGTATTTGTATTGGTTCCTTTTGCAGGTTGAGCTGCGATATGCCCAAGAAGCAACAGAGCGATGTGCTGCAGCTTTAGGTCTTAAGGTGCCTTTGGTTGCTGCACCTCGTGGTCACGACGAGCGTCCCAATGTTTCAGTGCGCAAAGCCGCTCGGGCGTGTGGAGCTACTTCTGGGCTCCAGAATGGGTCGGCTTGAACAACATCGACATGTGAAAAATGTTTTGGTGTCAGCATGAGACATTCTGAGACCATCGGCACAACACAAAGATCGATGCGGCTTCAGAGGAGTGCCAAAGACTCACCTTCCAAGCCATGGCCATGGCAAATCTTTGCATGCCTGTCAGACAGTCCTTCGCTGGCCAGGCCAAAGAAAACAATTGAGTGCAAAGATGTGCACAGTCTATGTGATCTTGGGCTAGAACAGAGTATCCTGGTAGTTGCATGTGTTTTTCTTGCCCTGGTGAAGTCGTGTGAAGTCAAGTGTGACAAGAAGCTGTTTTGCCAGGTGAGAAGCATCCAGGCAACGCCTTATCACCACTTGCCTGGCAGGCAAGACCACGGCACGAAAGAAACCGGCTTGGTAATGTTGACACATTGCCGTGTTGAGAGCTTGCCAACAATCCAGCGCTAGGCCCTAAGCCGTTTGATGCTCTTTGTTGATCCAAATTGAATAACCAGGTCTAGCAGTTGTCCTTGGAGGGAGCATGCATTGGCTTGAGCTCTTCTTTCATTTGCAGGAAGTGTGTAGGATGTGCTCTTCACCACCTCCAAGGCTACTGAAAATGATGTCGATGTTGTTGGTGTATGACTCCTGTGATGCTAGATTGACTACGCCAATGCCGGATCTTCTACTGATACCTATCATTGTTGTCAACTGTATGTTAGTGGTCATACCTATTTGGGACCAGAAAAATGCAGAAGGTCTTATTTGACTGGGTGCAGGACGCCAATATCCATTGCTTGCTGTTTCCAGCCAAAGACAAAGATTGCGTCAGCTGTCAAACATATTGCCACTTGGCATGTGCAACTTGAGATGAAGACAAGCCGTTTATATTGATACCGCTTTTTTTGCAATAGGCTTGGATGCTCAGTACTCAGAAAAGTTGGAGCCAGTACCTAAAAGCAACCTATCCCAGAAAGTAACACGCTGTAGCTAGCCTCGGGGGCTTATTGAGTCATTGGCTTAGAGGCATGGGTGTCGTGTTGAAGTGATTCGAAGTGGTGGACACTCCGAGGAGGGATAGTGGAGCAGTACCATCCACGCAAGAGAGCTCATGGAATTCGAAAGACACTGCCGCGGCCGTTCTTGCAGCAGCCTCAGTGTGTACATGGAGCATCATGGAGCAGATTTTTGAATCACTGATTGCCACACCATTGCAGTCGGAGCTTCACTTCAAAAAATGAATTCGTTGTTCATCTCATCTCCTTTAATCTCCTTTCTACATTCAGGGATTCTCTGGATCTTTCTTCTGCACCCTTCCCATCGTTTGGACACAACCCCCCTGAAAACCATAGAATGTGCACGAACCTGTCCTCGTTCTCGTTCGGTCGAGCTTCGTTTCGGGCAAAGCACGCCGGTTTCAACTCGGACAGGTGACTGGAACTGCTATTGGAGGCGGCTTCTTGGCGTTGCCCTACACCACCGCCCCATCGGGCTTCGTGCCACATCGAGCCGTTGAGTTCGAAGCCTTCGAAAAGTCTGGAATAAAAAAAATAAGTTGGAACACCAATGAGCTAGGCATGATTGTCCATATCCAGGTACCATCATTTGTGGTGATGCTCTTCTCCTGGGCGCTCCTTTTTGTCCAGGACTTCACTCCATGTTATATCAAAATGTCCAAATGTTTCATTGTGTCACACGGTCCTTTGTGCGATGGATCGCCCCTGGGCCTTGCCATGATCAGCAGACCTCATCGAGCCTCTTCTAGCCAAACGAGGGAGCTCTGTGGTGAGACTTTGCTGCATGCTCAACATACACCACCTTGAAATCTGAAGCTTCCACCAGGCTCAAGTGGCTACAGACCTGTTGGTCGAGGAGTCAAAAGGCGAAGCAGTGCCTAGGATGAACGTTTACTTTGTAGGTGAGGGTGGATCATCTAGCTACGGTGTGATTCAGGAGTCAGCGGTACCCTGGTCAACTAATCCTATATAGAATCTATATTGGGTTTGTTTGGGTCTGTTATATAAGTTCTTTGATGCACTCTGGATTCTGGATCATGTCCAGGAACACATATGCACAAGTTAGCAAGTCTATGTTAAATAGACAGCATTCAATTTCGTCGAGAAGCTGCTCCTAATTTTGGATCCCACAACACTTTCACAGGGATGCCTTTTGCTTTCATATTTTGGAGTATTCTGCTTTTGCTTACAGCGATCTTTGCATATATATATATACCTTCGCAAGCTTCGGAGGATCACATGCCTGGGAAGCAGACGGGTGCACCAAGTGGGAAGTTTCTTTTTTCCCGGTGACAATGAGGTCAGCTTTGCAGTTGCAGCGCAGAGGAGGCTGGGCAGCAAGGGTCACTCGTTCCTTACCTGCTCAGATGCAGTCATGGTCAAGGATCCATGCACGAATGTTGTTCTTTTGTTTGAACCAGCTAGAGGTACCAGTGGCTGCTCTTTATCCCCTGCAGACACGCTGTAGGTGAAATTGTCATCTCTGTTCTGTTCTTGCTATTGATGATGACGACGCTAGTATCTCAATACGCCGAAGCTGGTGCCCTTTTCTCCACCCTCACTGGCATGCCACAGAATTTGGCTCGTGCTTCGGCAGATATGCGAATAGACGGAGAATTGCTAGTTGAATTCATTAAGTTTGTTTAAACGTGTATGTTGTGGTGTCACACGAAATTGGTTTCCGCCACAAACAGTTGTTGAAATGAAATGGAAAAAGAGATGGGTGCACATGAGGTAAGCATCAAAAGTGAGATCTGTGGGCAATAAGAGGTAGTGAGAGAGAACACAAAAGATTGAATGGATAAGACGGCACAAACAAGATAAACTGTGCCGTTGCAGAGAAAGAGGACGTAAGGGATCAGAAGCAAAAGCCTGTAGAAGTTCCAAAAGCTTCACAATCGTATTTTGACACGTTCGAATTGATACAGGAATTGACGCAGTCGCAGTTTGAGATGTTGAATTGTTTGTGTCCAGTGTTTCCTGTTGGAAAGCCCCAATCCACTGTTAGTAGAATACCTCCTAGAAACATGTGCAAAAAATTGCCATACAAGGCACTGCAATAAGAAACAAGCGGGGAGAAATAAGATGGGGGCCAAGAAGAGACAGTAGAAAAGCATCGAAAAGAAACTAGACTAGAGGCAACAGAGGTTCAGATAACTATATATAACTATATTATATGTCCTTGTGGAAGTCTTACATCCAATTACTATTGTACACATCGACAGTTTGTTTCCTGAGTACGTCCAAGAGTGAAAGAGCCCCTAGTAGCTTCTTGTTTTAGTTAGTAGCGATGCCAGGAGCCCCTAGTAGCGTCCTTGCTCCTAGTAGTAAGGCCAGGAGCCCCTAGGTAGCGTCCTTGCTCCTAGTAGTAAGGCCAGGGCCACTAGTAG